TAAACCTAGGGCTTATATTTTCATTTATGAGGAACATGAAATGATAAATGCCTCGGTCCATCTCTTCAGTGGGGTTTGAGCATAAAATATAACCACAATATGCATACATACCAATGTTTACTTCTGTGTAGTAGATCTCTGAATGCTTTCCTCATCCCTGTAAGGGTGTATTTATGCCTGCCTTGCTGGTTATGCTGTGTTTTTACTCTTAGGATCTTTGCTCCTTCAAAAAATATGATGTGCCTGAGACATAGTATGTATCCAATAAATATTTACAGAATGGTTTATTGAGTGAGTACTTTGTTCAGAGAATAGTCATGACTGTAACTTGGAGACTTTACTCAGGAATAAATTGGAGAAACTAGTAGGGTGTGGTAGCTCACACTTGTAATCCCAGCACGTGGGAGGCTGGGGTAGGAGGATCTCTATGAGTTCGAGGCCAGCCTGTGCTACATAGTGAGTTCAAGGCCAGTCTGGACTACATATTGAGACTCTTGTCTCAAACCTCCCCCACATCAGCACTGTGAGCACCAAGTGGGACAGGGCTTAGCAACCAAACTTTCAAGTTTGGTTGGAAGCAAGTTGATCTGTGTGCTTCCCTATCACTGAAAGCCACACCCGTGGTGAGGGCTGTATGCACACATCTGGTAGCTCTCAGTGCAGGTGGGAAACTGACTGGCCATCAAGAGAGAGCTGTGTTGAAATCCTACCCACATGGCAGTGTGGTCTGCCTTGCATGGAGCATTGTGCTCTCCCAGAGTATGTGCCAGATTGACTCTAAGAGTGCTTTGTGTCCATTTCTCAATATATGACAGACTTCAGTCTTCCAGGGGAATAATCTCCCTGCCTCCCAGTGAACTCAAAGTAGACCTGGCCATCTTTGCCGGGCATGGTGGCGCAAGCCTGTAAGGAGAGCCCTCAGGAGGCTGAGGCAGGAGGATTGTGAGTTTGAAGCCAGCTTGGGCTACATAGCATGAGACTTTGTCTCAAAGAAAACAAAACAAACTGGCCAGTGTCATGACACACAGTCCTCTCTTCAGGTTTTGAAACATCCCAACAGGCACTTGAAAAAATAACTATGTATTGTGGTAGAGAGAAAGAGATACGATTATATACACAGAGATACATAAATGTACTCTGTTGGCCTTGAGGGGTGACTCAGTGGCAGGAATGGTTCTGTGGTGAGTAGGGAAGAGAAATTCTGGCCTTTGTGTAGCTTACAGGGGGACAGACAGTGAACAGAGAAGACTAAGTTAGAAGGAGATAGATAATGTGGGGAAAAATAAAGCAAGAGGGCGGGGAGGGAGGATACCAAAGGGATCTCAGTGTGTGAGAACTGTTTCTTATTTCGGTATGGATGATCTTCTCTTTAGGTTACTTTTTCACAAAGTGGCCTTGCAAATTACCCACCAGGCAGCCTTCCAAAACTAGGCCACGGTAAGCATGGTGGCCCGATGGAGTGGGAGGAGGAGAGATGAAATTCAGCTCCTATAAGCCACTTGGGGATTGGGTGAATCCTTATGAGAAAGGGCGCTATTTATGTCAGTGAGATGTAGTCTTCACATTCAGTTAGATTAGGAATTGATCTAGGCATTTTAAAACAGATGTGTGTGTTTGTTTTGAGGTGGGGTCTTACTGTGTATTCTGGTGTAGGCGTATTTTCCTGGATCCCCAGGAGCTGGGATTACAGGTGTGCACCACCTCATCTGGCTTGATCTGGGGATTTAAAGTTGTCAGAAGCTTTGAATGTAGCGGGAAAGCATCTGTGAAGACTTTCACCCATTTCATTCTCTCTCATAGGAATTTTCCCCACATACTTGTTGAAGAATACGTGGTTTGGTAGCATTTCAATTTAAAATTCCTGTTTATGAACAAACGTTAGCATTTGAGAAGTCTACAAAAATAAGATTAAACATTAGAAGAAAACAGAGTTTGTTGACAGTAAAAGCAAAGAAAATTTGCCTGGCTAGGTTAAGAACAATATGAGGAAGACTGTATTCATTACATTCTGTGAACGGGATTGTCTTCTGTCAAGAAAGCACTGGTCAATTCTAACTAGAATTTTTCCTCTCTAGAAAGTTCAATTAAGAGCCGAGTGTGGTGGCACTCGGCCCTTGATAATTCCAGCTACTTGGAAAGCTGGGGCAGGGCGTCACTAGTTTGAGGCCAGCCTAGGTCACCTAGTGAGACCCTGTCCACAGGAAAAAGGCTGGTGATATAGCTCCGCACTCCCTGCATCCAATCCCCAGTACTACAGAATAAAACTTGATTAAGGATTGGTTCAAGGCATTGCATGCAGTTTAGTCTATCAGAAGTTGCGCTGTTTTTCATTCTTCCATGCCAGGCTCCATGCAGCTGTGCTCCCTTGCTCTTGTGTAATGAAGCTTTTGGCATAACATCTAGTTGTCTTCTTCCTGCTGGTGCCTAAGGTCCGTGTTCCTGCATCTTATTTGTTCTGTTTTTCTCGTCTGAGTTCCTAAGTGGCCCACTAAAATCTTGACTGGGACTGCTTCTGGTCCTCACCCACGTCCCCTACTTCTCTCTTACCCTGTTCCCTTACTTTCCTGTGTAAAATGTACTGGGTAGGCGGGCACTGTACACATAAACGCACTTTATTAACCTTTAGTGACAAGGTTGCTCTGTGTACAGAAACTTGTCAGTCTTGTAATACGTCCCCCTCCTGCACTTAATATCATGCTTAATTGTCCGCATTTCATTTGTCAGAGCTGTAACCTTTACTTTCTGTAGTGCAATGAATTGTTAACACTCTTGAATTGATTTAATGATTTAATACCTATTAGCGAGGATTCAAAGTATAACCCTGATGGTGTCCTCATAAAACGAGACAGTTAAGTGTTTTCTTAAACAGAATGACACCTCCGCATGGCTCTTGCTCTTTCATTAACCATTCTGGGAGTTCTCTCCTTTTGCTTAGCTCTGCAGTGATCAGTGTATTGCAGGGCACAGGAGAGAAAGAGCAGAAAAGAATTAGTCTATGAGTTTTTGGAAGGACACAGTTGGAACGTGTTCTCACCTCCTTGCCCTGGAGCTCTCTCTGTGCACGGATCACATAGATCCTCGTTCCCACAGAGGCCCCACCAGCAAACTCCAGCATCCTCACCTTGCTTTATCCAGCATAGATTGTACAACAGCTCATTTTCACAATTTTCCCTGAAGGAGAGGAGGAATTACCTCTCCCCAGTGACTCAAGGAATATAGCAGAGGCGGGTAAGGGGTAGCTCCGTGGTGGAGCACATGCTTAGCATGTGCAAGGCCTTGGGTCCAGCTGCCAGAACTCCCCTCAAAAAACTGGTGGCAGATCCTTTTGATTATATGGGAGGTTTTTAGCTATGTATAAATTGTATTTGATTTGAAAATTGTATTTCATCAATAGATGACATACTTCATTTACAAATGACCTAAACAAAAGATGTGGATACAGGGTGATTTAACTGGTTTAATTTTTTGGAAGGGAATCCAGTATAGAGTTCAGGAATGAAAATGAGGATGGGATGCTCACCATTTGAGTTATTTGACAAGCACTGAATAGCTAGGAACTGTGGAAGACCCATGCAAAGCATTTGTTCCTGGAGGATTTCTACCCGAGCAGGGAAGCCAATACAAAAATAATACAGTAAGTAACAGGACAGTAAGTGTTGAAACATAGGCATAACATGAAACAGGAGAGCTGAAGGTTGGAGGTTGAGAGAGGAGTCTGATTTTCTTAGAGCAGAGAAAGTAGAAAGAACAGCTCATTTCAGCACTCAGAGAGGCTAAGGCAGGAGAATTGCAAGTTCAAGCTCAAACTGGGCAATTTAGTGACTTAGCGAGATCCTGTCTCAAAATACGAAGGACTGGGGATGTAGCCCAGGGCAAAGGCCTTGAGTTCAATCCCCAGTACTTTTTTTTTTTAAAGAACATCCCATACCAAAGGCTTGAAGGCGTCCTACTCCTTTTGCTTAGAATGCAGCAGATGGGGAAGAGGTGATACAGTCCTGGAGCAGTAGGTTCCAACCAAGCTGTGTGTTATGCTCTGGAGTTTGGTGTTGATACCGTAAGAGGAAGGTGGCTGGTACAGGCTTATCAGCAAGGGAGAGAGGAATGAAAAGAAAATAATGTTTTCACTAAGAAAATAAGCTGGGGGCAGTTGCAAGAAAATGGACAGGACCTACTGGGAGGAGGCCAAGGGATTGTGTAGCCGTCTCCTGGCCAGGAAGACAAAGACTGGACTGCTGACCCACCCCACCTGGTGAGCAGTCTGCTGGAAATTCAGCCCTTCTGCTCAAAGGTTTTTAAATCCATAAGCTCCTTAATAGAAAGAAGAACCAGAGGAGAGAAAGGCAAACAGGAAAAATTCAATGAGCAGATGTTGAGTGAAACGGCTTTTATCAAAGTCCTCCTTTGAAGTAAATTCATTAGTGAAATTGGAGAAACTTAGAGTTTAAGTGGATTTGAAACTGGTGTTTTGGTCTGTCTGCCTCCAGTGCATTTCCAGTTTGCTGTTGTCTGTGAACTGACAGAAAAACCGCCTCTCAGTTGAGAAAAGCTAATGAGACCTCTGAATCAGGCTTTCGGAGTAGGTGGCGTTGCCTGCCCCGCCCACACCTTGGTCTGCGAGTGATTCATGAATCAACTTGTTGAAGCTTTCTTACTTGTCAAAGCGCCTTTAAATAATCCAAGCCACAGCTGTTTCATCTTCAGCCAGAGAAAGTGAAAATGGCCCCAAGAGGTCTAATACCTCACATAAACACTCTAAGATGCGTATACACTTGAGTTTGAGATTGAAGCGCTTGAAGCAGACTATGCTTATTTCCTGATAATAATGTACTTGTCTTTCTTAGTGATGATCTTTGAGACCGAAACAAAAATAAAAGCAAGTTACATCTAACTGTTTTACAAGAGAAAAATTTGCCAGGCTATTTTTTTGTTTGTTACGTAGTTTAAAAAGTAAATTTTTGTTTCATTTACTGAGAAACATAGAAATCACGTTGTGGACTTACGTCTCTTGGTGGGTGAGTTTTATGGTGTGGTGGTGGTGGTAGTGGTGGTGATTTAGTTAGCAAAAAGTCCCCCAAGTAGTCTTCACTTCCGGGGAGTACTTGGAGTTGTCAGACCAGCTCCTCGAAGAGTGCAAGCTTTTCGGCGGTGTCTCAGCTTTCTGGCCGGTGGGTAAGCCTCTTCCTTTCAACAGCAAGATCATCCTGTCCAGCAGTTGACTAATGAGTGTGCACCAGAAGGCAGCAGCCATGAGGCAGCCAGTAGATGCATCATGATTCAGTGTCTGCCTGAACTCCAGTTTTCTCCTCAAGTGGTGAAACAGGAAGTAACATCCCATCAGGAAGAACCTGAAAGTGCCATCCAGTAGCTTCGCCTCACGTCACAGATCGCCCTCAGAAATCTTGACTTGCAACTTTCCAGGGTGGGTCTGTGAGAGAATTTCAAAATGTACACATAGATGAGACATGCTGCTCTTGAGAACAAAGCTGACCGCAACACTGGAAACTTCACTCTGACTACTCCTCACAAGCAAGGAGCATCTTCTGTGGACTGACGTTTCAGAAAGGTAGGTGCCATCTCACTGATGGTGTGTATTCGTGTTGGAGAACTTACAAGCAAATTGGCCTTGGTCTCGACTCTGTGTATGTGCACATACCACAGAGAGAGAGAGAGAGAGAGAGAGAGACTGTGATGAAAATGCCACTGCTTAAAGAGTATTACTTACAAGCTGTTTAACAGTGGAGACCAAATGTTGAGTCTAAACTTGTGCTTCTGGCTTGTATTATGTGCTCTTTGACTGCTTTAGGCTGATTCATTGAAGGAATGGGGAAAACCCAGAAAAGGCCGAGTGCTCAGCATAGCTTGGTTTATCAGGAAAGCCGGACTCAAGGTAAAATGAAAAGTGTAGCTCCAGATTTTGGTCAGGAGGCATGGCAGAGGGCATTTCAGCCCACTTCACAGTGCCTGAGATCTAAAATGAGGTAGGACTTGCTCACCTCATGGTGACAGACTTTCTTAGCTGGTCCAGACTTGAGAGATGTAGTGTTCAGTGTTATGCCCAGAAGAAATTAGCTGAGTAGTTTTAAAACTGCCAGCCTCATGCAGAAAAACAAAGCACAACTTTATTTTTTTCAAATCCAAGTGAATGTTTGGCAAATATTTTATTTTCAGCATTTTTTTTTTTTTTTTTGAAAATCTTTACACAGAGCTAGGAAATGAGAGCTTTGGGACTCTCCAGATGATGAATATTAATTTGTTCAACTATCAGTAGTATTTCATTGCCTTCACTACCATGCATGAAGGTTGAGAATTTTAAACTTTACCTTTTCTCTTCTGCCCTCCATATACCCACCGCATCTCTTAACAGAGATTTCCCCTTATAATTTCATTAGTCAAATTGCTGGCCAAAGAGAGATAAAAGGTATATATTAATCTGGGTAACAATTGTGTGGTCCTTCCATTAAAAATATTTATGTCTTTTAATAAAATAGCAAATTAATTTATATAAGTTTGAAGATAATTCTGGGTTAGTAATTTACTTTTATTATTTATAATGTACTTTTATAGCATATTAGTTATAACCCACATTTATTAAACAGTCCTCATTGTGTATGTATGTGTTTTCATTTCATTCAAAGAGACGGGGCTCGGAATGTGGAGTTTTCAGGTGAGAAAGTTTAGCTTTAGTGAGATTTAGCAGTGCACAGCGGGGGATTGAGAACTAAACTCCACTGCCTTCTTACATACTGAGATGCATGGTTTGAGCTCCTTTCATTCTTAATCTGCTTCATCAGCCCTCCGGAGTCCTTGTCAGGTGGAGGGGTTTCTGACTTTGTGATAATGTGCAAACATTCTAAGTAGGTGTCTTAAAATGAAAGACCGAAAGTCAATCATAATTTACTTCCCCTGCTGGGGTGTGGTATATGTTAGGGAGAAGAAGGACCAGAAAGACAGACTTAACTGTGACTTACAGTTGCTGCTGCTATTGTGATGTAGGGAAGTGAAGTCTTTCAAACTTTAGTTTCCTTATTTATAAGTCAATTATTACAACATCCATCACGCAGGGTTTGTTGTTGGGAGGAATAAGAAACAAGGTATGCTGAATAGCTTCCGCCTGACCGACAGATGGCGGGCTCTGGGTAAACAGTGCCCTTTTCTGCATTTTGATGTGTGCGTTTTGATGCACTAGATCCTATTATAGGCACAGGCGTGTGAGCAGTGAACAAGGCTGACAAGTCCTTCCCTTGTGGAAGGCACTGTCCATTGCTGCTATATTGTTACATCAGAGAACGACTTACTTTGGAAATCACTTTGTGGTTATTGATATCCTTCTTTGTGGAGCTGATCCCTAAACCATAGTAATCAGACAAAAAAACCAAGGACATCACATATTTCTTTTCTAAAAGTCAGTTTGAAGTGCTGATCACTGTAAAGTGACAGATCAGGAGAGGGAATATTTTTAAACACGCATGCACATACACAGACACGCGCACATGTATGCACACACAAATGTGAGTTTTCCCTGGTCCCCAAAGCCATAGCAGAAGTGTGGCCAGGAGCTGGTAGAAGGCACATGTCAGGAGGGTGACCGGCAGCTCCCTGGATGGTCACTCCTCTCAGAACAGAGGGATGTGTAGCAGCCACTTACTTACCTTGGGCCCCAGGCCATCCACGCGGCAGCCTGGGGCTTCCCAGGTCCTCCTTAGTGTGCACTGAGGGACATGATACAAAAATGGGCCTAGAGGTACATACTAGTATGTGTATATGTATGTATGCATATATATACACTTATTTATAAAGATGGATTTAGGACAAGAGTGTTTGACTTACTTATTGGCAAAAAGCCTGGAGTCAAGTTCATGGAGTAGGTCAGTTGACATCAAGAGTGGTGTTTTTGGCAGTCTGTGCCTGGCTTTGAGTCTTGAGGAAGTGCAGATCATAGCAGAGAAGGAGGGGAGAGGAACACATGAAAACTCCCTGGGGAATCTCATGTAGCTGTATTAGTCTTGTCCTGGAGACACCTGTACACTCAATACACTGACCTTTTCTGTACAGCCCAACTTCGTGATTTTACAAAGGATGATCAAAATATATGATGAGTGATTAAGTGGAAAAGATTGATTATAGAAGACACATTGCCATTAATTCCCTTCCCTTTGAGTACACTTATCCCATCATTCTTGCCACTTTCTTATTTTATTTTATTTTTATTAGTACATATTTTATTAGTACAGTTTTGTTAGTGCATGTTTATTAGTACATATCTTTTATCTTTATTGGTACATTCATCACAGGGACTTGGTACATGTATCACTCCCTCCCTCCCTCCCACCTCTCTCCTCACTTAGCCCCTTCCTATTTGCAAAAAGTCTATCTCCCTGTTTCCTATTATCTGTCTTCTATTTTGTTCTTTAATGTATTTATATTTTGAGTTTCTCAAACTTTGAGTTTCAGGAATCATGATTTTCAGCCTTACTATAGGTATTGCCTTAAGATTTGTCCTTAATATATGGTGGCAGCATAAATCAAGCTAAAGCCTTATTAAAATAAATACACCGGCCTTTACGTGTAAAACTCCAGTTAACAAGTAAGTGATTAAGACTCTTTGACCTTCTCAATACTGTAACAGCCAAAGTTTTCCATGGGGCTTTTTGTTGATGGTGGAGACAGGTTAAATTATAAATGGAGTCAGTGGTCACTGTGTTCCTAAACAGCGAAGTTATTTCCAAAGTTCACTGTAGTATACGCTAAAGTCTGAGAAAATCCATTAATAAGTAGAAGATAGCGCTGTTGGGAAGGGGGATTGGCTTGAGTGATCTTGAGGCAAGCCTCACCTTTCCCAGGAATTGTAAATTTCTGTCTGTGCCTACATACTGCTCAAATATGAAGTGTTTTGCCTTGATTTGCTAACCATTTCTTTTTTATTTTTTGGCTTACCTGCTCCTGGAAAGTCTATGGTGAGAGTTTGTGCTGATGTTTAGTTCATACAAGTTTGAATTTAATGGCAAGTTTCCTTTTTATTGTTTTCTTTTTTTTATTTTAAAGAGAGTAGTAAATGAGAACCAAACAAATAAAGAAATAGAACAGCAGCAGCATACCAGTATCACAAACTTAAACAAGTCAAAGCAAGAACATTCAAAGTGATACAGAGTCTCAAGACAAAATAATATGAATCAACAGTGGTTGTTACATTACATATCGCTGTCCTCAACTACATTGCTCAGATTACCAGATGTAAGAATGGAAGACTGCTCAAACCATTATAGGGAATAAGAAAATAATTCTTCAATAAAACAGTAGAGATAATACAGAGTTTCACTAGACAAGATGGTGGGAGTTCACCATTGTAATTCCACTGCATTTTTATTTTTTTCTGAGTGGTGTTTTTATTGTTTTCTGAATGATGCTTTTTGTTTTGTTTTGTGGTGCTGGGGTCTGAACGTAGGGCCTCACACATGGTAAGTGTGTGTTGTGCCACCAAGGTACACCCTCAGTCACTCTTAAACTATATCACCAGGAAATGCCTTGTAACTAAACTATTTGGCCCAGATCCCCAACATTCTCTGCTCATGCCTGGTACACACGCACACAAAATGAAATAAATATTCATGCATTTGTCCTTCAGGGGAGAAATGTAAAATTCATACACAAGGCACATATTCAGGTTATTTGAAGAGATAACATATTGCATTAAGAAGCTTGAGGGAATTTTTGTTGACTATATCTATATTCTAAAATGCAGTTCTTAGTGAAGAAAAATCATATGTGATAATCCATTTAATCCTCTGTGGAGTGCTATGTGCCATAGCAAGGCCCATTTGTCGTATCTTGGTTCCTTTGCCAGACATATTTTTATAAATTTGATTTTATTGGTGTACTTTTGATGTACATTCAAAATTTTGAACATACATTTTGATATACATTTAATATACATTGATATATCACATTCATCATACAGGATTTGTACTTGTGCATAATAATATCGTGATTTTTCTTTTTTTCCCCATTCCCCTCCCTTCAACCTTTCTTCTGCTCTTTATTTACAAAAGCTTTGTTTCTATTTTTTTCTTTTATTCTGTTTTTTTTTTCTCTCCTCTTTTCCTTTCCCCGATCCCTTATTCTCCTTTACATTTGAATATGTTGTTCCTACTTTCCAGTACCCTTGCAGTTTCACAAGAGAAACAGTGTGATACTTAAACACATGTGTCTGAATATGGTCTCAGACTGCATCCATTTACTGAAAAATGTCTCAAGTTTATCCTTCTCTCTGGCAGAGTAGTACTCCATTGTATATACAAACCACATCTCCATTCATCTGCTGATGGGCATCCGGGCTATCTCCAAGATTTAGCTATTACAAGTTGTGCTGCTGTAAACATGGTTGTGTATACATATTTTGCTGTGGTCTGATACTTTTAACCTTTTTCCCTTTTGAAGAAGCAGAATAGCTAGGTTAAATGAAACCTCTAGTTTTATTTTTTAAGGAATCTCCGTAATGATTTCCATATTGGTTGTACCAGTTA